TAATTGTAACCCTAATGTATTCTACTATACATAAGGAACAAGTGCAGACCAAAGACAAGGAGATAGAGGCATGAAAAGGCAGAAAGCAAACTTCAAAAAATTCAAGAAAAGTTGCAGACCAATTTCCACGTTACAGATCACCTCAAGGCATTCTAACCATCCCAATCGTTTACTAGAAATTCCTGGACCGTATTGCAACCGCTAGCAAGCTTCCCACGTTCAGAATCACACTATAAGGTTCAAACAGTTTGTCTCTTTTCTTGAAATCGAATGCACATATTCTGGCATCTTTAGCAAGAATAATTGACATATTTTTAATCCTTGGGATTTTTGCAAGCTAATAATTATGATTAATTGTATTTTTATTGACTATAAGCAAAGTGCCATGGCTAGGGTTTTTTCTTTGTTTTTAGGGATTTATTGTACAAGAATAATTAGCCATTAATAATGGTACCATGATGCTCGTGAGGTTGCAACGAGTTGATTGGTACCATTGGTTTTCATTTATCATGCTTGTATGAGAATTTGGAAATGCACAGGGTTATACCTACGCCCAGTTTCCGTAGGTAAAAGCTTTTATCTCTAAAACGACAGAGGCGACGAAGAAGACGATGGCGTGGCATGCTGTGAATGGGCAGTTTGAATCTGTGCACGTTTTAAGAATTAATATTTTGTTTTATCATATAATGTTTGTTTGTTATTATTTGTACAACTAACATGGCCAGCTCAGATGGCAAGCGCGCAGTGGGGGAAGGCTCAAGGACCTGGATTCGATCCCAAGGTCCCAACATTTGCTCTATATTGTTTTACTTTACATAATTAGGTGTGCTAGTATCTCACGAGTCTACCATGAATCATTAGCATCCAACCATCAGATCATCAAGGCTGTAGATCCAACGCCTTCTCCCATTAGGGTCCACCATGCGCCCAGTCAAGCAGGCACACAGGATCTGGCAAAGACAATGGGGCCAAGAATTGTTGGGCCAAGAAATTTCCATCAACACCCCCTCCTTTTGCTAACACCAGGCCCATTCTTTCTCTTTTCTATTTCTTTTCTTTTTTTAATTTAATTAGTTTAATTATTTTTTAACCAAAATCAATTTCTTTTTTCACAAAAAATCATAAAATCAAGTTTCACAAATTTAGAATTAGGTTTTTTTTTTATTTTATCAAATTTAATTTAATATTAGTTTATATTTAATTTAGGGTAATTCTAACATTTTATATAATTAAAATCAATTAGAAAAATTAGGATTAGCTTGTGATCTAATTTTTTATTTCTTTCTCAAAGTACAAAAATAGGTTAATTTAATTATTTTTTTCCTTAATTAAAATTAATTAGTAATTAGGTTTTTTTATTCAATTAAACTTTATTTTCTCAAAATAATCAAAAACGAAAAAAAATGATTTTTCTTTTAAATTATAATTAGGTAGTTGGGGTCAAAACCCTATATCTCTCATTTTCGATTCATCGCGCGCGTTTATTATTTTTGCAATATTAATGTAACTGCTCACGGTATGTAATAGTTTAATCTAGGTTTTTGCCTTTATTTATCGTCTTTTACGGGTTTTTTGGCTATGTAATTAATCCCTACCCCGAAGCCTTGTAATAGCGTAGGTTTTATTTCTCGCATTTTAATTCTCGCAAATATTAACTGTTTAGATGTATGTTAATAGGATTGTATGACAAGATTGCATGATAATTTAAAATGACTAGAAAACCCTAATGTGCAAAGACAATAATTGAAATCAAATCACTCGCACATGCGCACTCTTAGGGTATACTCTCACTTCGGTTGCCTTCGGTAAACGATCATTAAGTATAGGGTGTCATAGTGGTTTCCCTCCTGTCTAACAAAGATCAAAAGTCCCGTTCGGAAATGTTGCCTCGAATATGATCTTAAGACTATAGGGTTATTACCAAGACGTCCTAACATTGCTTTAGTGATCGTACGTCCCTTTCGAATTGACCCTTACAACTCCAACGATGGTACTACCTACTCCTTAATAGTGGGATAGTGTTGTCTAAAGGAAATAGAACAAGAATAGAAACAATATTTTTTCGAGTAGGTAGATTAGTTCCTAGGTACTTGCTCAAACAAACAAAAAACTTTTTTTCACACTAACACTTTTCAAACAAAGTTTTCAAAAATAACTTCGTAACACTCTTGAGGACAGAAACAAGGTTCAAAATGAAGTAAAACAACTTTTCAAAGCAAAGCACACACAAGCAATTTCAAAATGAGAAAGTACCTAAGAGCCCCTGGAAAACCATGGATGGAAAGGATGCTAACACCTTCCCTTTCTATAATCTACCCCTCGTACTCAAAATCTCGAAAAAGGATTTTTTTTCTGTGCTTTTTTCCTTTCTGGATGGATAAAATAAAAGTCGGTGGCGACTCTTGTTTACCGCGACATTTTGCAAACAAAAAACGCAAAATGCAAACCAGCATTTTCAAAACAGTCGGTTCTGCACCGTATCACAATATTCATATCTACGAGTTGGTCTGCATTAGGGAAAAGTACCATCACATAGATAAGGAGTTCCAATACCTCTTAAAATACTTGTAAATCCAAGGTATCCCAAAAATAGTAAGCCTTCTCGAATATAAATTTAATAAAGATTCCTTAGATACTTCCCATAGTTTCCCAATTTGTCACTACATTGGACCGTTGTAAGGACAGAGCTCGAGCAATCTCTTCAGGCTTTGGATGCTCTTCCATACTGTTGAAAGGTAACTGATCAAGAATAGGTACCCCTAACAACCAAGAAAATTCCTCCATAGTAGGCACTAGCTGGTAATCCAGGAAGGTGAAGTAGTGGTGCAAAGGATCAAAGAATTGAAATAGCACTTTTAACAATTCTTCATCAGGTTTTGAAGTGACCAAGTTGAGCAACCGACCATGTTTTTCAGTGAAGGGAGAGATTTCAGGAATCCTTAATTCCAAGTCTTTTAGTTGGAGAGGAACTTTCACAAGGTTAATATGGATAGTGTTCCTGCGGGCGGATGCCATGTCCTACAAAACAAAGCAAAGATGAGCCCTAGAAAATCCTTGAAATGGTTAGTATGACATGTTATGCTTATGATGTCATGATTATGCTAAAATATCACATGTATAGCAAGCAACAAACAAGTCACACCAAGTCCTTAGGTTTAAGGCCTACATGAGTTTCAAAGGTCATACCCTCTTGAAGTTGGATTGGTTCAACCTGTCCTATAAATAGTAATCGAGTTCTAAGGTATCTCAATATCACCGATCTTTCCCCCAAGCTTCGTTCAATAGGCGATTGACTCGCAACCAAATAAAACTCAAGAGTCAAACCTCAATGAGTGTAGCATCGAGTATCTGTCGACCTTGGGAATACACCAAAGCCGGCCATCTCGCTACGTCCTACTGGCCAAGCTGTGAAATTAAAGGTTCTAAGGTCAGTTGATGCTTTATGACACCACGCGGCAGCCCTGTACTCTCCTTGATTGACTGAAGGATTACCGATACCAACCAAAGTGTCACATCAACGTAGCTACTGCTTCAACTATGTCAGTATACCCCGCACAATTCCCTCACAGTTTATTGCTACCTAACCCCAACAAAACCCTTGAATATAAAGCAGGCAAAGCAAAACAAGAAAGCAATTTTTAGAAATGACCTAGATCCTAAGGTATACCCCACTTATTAACTCCCGAGCAGAGTCTCCAGTTCTGTGATACGGTGGCATAACCGACTGTTAATACTGGTTTGCATTTTGTATTCGCAAATGTCGCGGTAAGCAAGAGTCGCCACCGACTTTTATTTCATCCAGCAAAGGAAAGAAAAAAGAACAGAAAAAACCTTTTTACGAGAGTTTATGAGTACGGGGGGTAGATTATAGAAAGGGAAGGTGTTGTCACCCTTTCTATCTGTGGTTTTCCACGGGTTCTTAGGTACTTGCTCATTTTTGAAGTTGCTGGTGTGTGTTTTACCAAAAGTTTTGTTTAACTTTCACTACAAGAAAATTAGTGTTTAACGACACAAAAATTGCGACAGTTATGTGATAACTGTCGTAATTGACATATAGAGACAGTGTTTACGACAGTTGACACCAACCGTCCCTAATATTTATTTTACGACGGTATATTTAACCATCATAATATTATTATTACGACGGTAAAACAACCGTCGGCCCCCATTTAACACTTTTAACATTGATTTTTCACCAACAACTAGTCACGACGGTAAAATTAACCGTCCTAAAAGGCATATCACGATGGTAAAGCACCCGTCGCACCCTTAAACCTTTCACGACGGTAAAATTATCCGTCCTAAAATTCATTTCACGACGGTAAAACAACCGTCGCACCCTTAAACCTTTCATTTGAGTTTGAATATATTGAATTGATGTTAGGTTTTCTAATTTGTTGTTTTAGGGTTTTATTTTTTTTAATGATTTTTTAGGATAATATTTGGTTAGGATAAAATATGTATCGTCCCTTATCCATTCTATGATACTGAATTTTGTCCAAACTCAAGCCATAAATCTTCCAACAACAACCGATAACATCATCATCATCATCAATGACAACCTTTTCAACTGAATTCTTATCACACACTCTCAATTTCAGAAACCACCCAAACCGCACTTCTCGCCGTTCAAATCCCAACACTATCGTCACTTCCTCAACCCCGGGCAACACCAACAACCGAAGAACAAGAATCAGGGTCAATGAAACAAGGCCAAAACTTGATCAAGATTACGATGAAGCTCTCATTAGGTCATTCAAATCAGCTAAGTACAATCGAGCTCTCCGCTTTCTTAAGCGCGTGGTTGACAGGGGTTATAAACCTGATGCCATTCTCTGCCATTCTCTTCATCATCTTCCTCTCCATCTTTGATATTTCACTTTTCTTTATAACTGAGCAGAGATTTCTGAGTTTAGTTTCTGTATCATCTATTCTTTTTTAGCCACTATCCATGTTTTAGCCCTTTTCATTAAACTAGCCTTCATTGTTTTCTTAAGCGCATGTTGTTACTGCCTCTATTGGTTGCTTTGCCAGGCTTGAATGTAGTCGAGAGCCGAAAAACACTGGCTGTGGAGCACTATGTTGAGTACTGTGCTGTGAGCTGCAGAGCTTACAGTGCCTCAGTGACGGAGTTTGGAGCGGTTGGCGATGGACAAACTTCGAACACGCGGGCCTTTCAGACGGCTGTAGATCATCTGAGTCAGTACTCGTCGAACGGCGGGTCTCAACTTTATGTTCCACCAGGAAGATGGTTGACTGGTAGTTTCAATCTCACCAGTCATTTCACTTTGTTCCTGCACAAAGATGCAGTCATTCTTGCCTCTCAGGTTTGATTATTAGCTTAACTAGTCTTGTACATCTATATGAATATGCAAATGTGATGTAATTGAAGTGCTTTGAATGTTGATATTATGTTCGTGATGTGACTTTTTAGGACGAAAGTGAGTGGCCGGTGATTGAGCCCTTACCGTCTTATGGTCGAGGGAGGGACACTCAAGGCGGACGATATAGCAGTCTAATTTTTGGAACCAACCTCACTGATATAGTCATAACAGGTAACTTATAAGATCGATGATTGTTGTCAGTTTGCCTGCTATTTCTGTGTAATCGAAGATTGAACTGTACAATCCGGTTATGCTTTTGGGAACTAAAATTCGGTTGCTTTAACTATGAATTTGAATAGGGGACAATGGAACATTAGATGGACAAGGTGAAGTGTGGTGGCAAAAGTTCCATAAGGGGGAGCTTAGCTATACCAGGCCTTACCTGATTGAAATCATGCACTCAGATGATATTCAGATATCGAATCTGACTTTGGTTAATTCTCCATCCTGGAATGTTCATCCTGTTTATAGCAGGTTCATCTTTTTCTCTTTGTGGTGTCTGTTATCAATTATCAATCTGCTACATTATTGTTCTGAGTTTTCTGATATAAAGAAATTGAATGCAACAACATTGTTGTTCGAGGCATCACAATTCTCGCTCCTGTGAATTCGCCAAATACAGATGGGATCAACCCTGGTAAGTTAAGTTAGTATATACATCTTTTTCAAGATGCTGCGATGTATAGTCTAGTATATCCGGGACTGATTGTGGTTTATGGTTTATGGCACAGACTCTTGCACGAACACGCGGATTGAGGACTGTTATATAGTGTCCGGGGATGACTGTGTGGTTGTGAAAAGTGGTTGGGATGAGTATGGTATAGCTTATGGAATGCCAACTAAGCAGCTGGTGGTTAAAAGACTCACTTGCATTTCTCCAACCAGTGCTGTGATTGCTTTAGAAGATTAGCACTAACACCTCATGTCTGAATATTGGAGCACCCCAATTGTTGGGTTGTATTTATGGTGTGAATATTGGAGCACCCCAATTGTGGGGTTGTATTTATGGTGTGAATGGTAGTATTTTTTAAAACAAAAAATGTTAGTTTTATGTTTGGATGGGGATCGGACCTCCAACCTCCTTTTCACTCCCGTCCTTATCTCCTCCACCCTACCACCAAGCGAAGCCACTCTTATATTCCCTATGTGGATGTGAGTTAGTGTAGATAAATTATCAAATTTTCTCTTCTCATGATGATATTCTTCATTTATCTAAAGGTATGGTACAATTACAATAGGAGGAACATTACAAGCTATTTTGACTGATTATCACCTTGTCTTTAACTTCTATTTTCTATACTATTAGTTCTGTATTGTTTATGCCCTTTACTTTGTGTGTTGGACAGGATGATGCACATATTTTCTGCAGGGAGTCCCAGGTGTGTTAACGTAAATTTATGTAATATAATTTTTATGATATCTTTTAAGATGAAGCTGAAATTATTCTATTAATTCATTTTGCAGGTTAAAGATGAAGTGAGAAAAGCCTTGGACTTCATTGATTATGTCTATCAAATATTTGGTTTCACATATGAACTGAAACTTTCAACGGTATGAACTGAAAAAACCTACATATTGTTGATTGAAGGGATTTAATGGATCTTGATGAGTGCTTACGCCAGTTGAAATTTCATTTGCACCGTGCTCAAGTTAGAATGAAACCTTTAGCTGATGCTCACAGGAATGATGTAGTTTCAAGTTCGTGATTGGGTTTTCCTGAAATTGCATCCGCGTGTTCAGCAGTCAGTAGAGGTGCGCATCAGTCCCAAGTTCGCTCCACGTTATTATGGTCCATTTATGTTGCTGGCTAGCTAGAATTGGAGAGGTGGCTTACAAGCTGCAGCAACCAGCCACAACAAAGACACACCCTGTCTTCCACGTGTCTTTGCTTAATAAATTGTGTCCGTCCTTGGACCTTGTTTTTGATTGCTTGTGAATTTAGAAGCTTTTATTTTCATTTCATTTAGTTGGCAAGGATATACCTAATTCAAAATTTTGTACCAGGACAAGTCTAGACGATGGACAGATCAACTGCATAAATTATATCTGAGTTCTTTAGAGGCCTCATTTGTGAATGAGTTGCATCGTTCTATACATTTACGTGGTTGGAGCTTTCACACTAATGCTGATGAAACATATAAATGTAGAACTCTGCAAAATACACCTACTACTCCTAGACAGGTCAGAGATAAATTCCAATTTAGTGTCACCATTGTATTTATGTATTGTAACTTCCTCCTTATAATCAGGCTTTTTAATCCCTTTTTTCCTCTTTCAGTCTCTGGATCTACAAGATGGCTGCCAGAAGAAGATCAACCTTGAAAAAATTTCTCCCGTGTTAGAGAGCACAGCTGATTCTCATGTTCTTACAGGAAGTGAACCGGGACATGCAATGCTAGATAAAGCTTGTAGTTTGAGAGAGCCTTGTACCTATGACCATGGATTACTTTCTGATGAGGAAATTCATGCCAGTGGGAGTTCATCATTTGCCAACAAGTCAGCAAGAAGTTGTTTGGAGAAGCAATGCTCATTCCATGGAGAATCGGGTTGCAGTACTACAGGTAGCCTGAACTACATTTTTTTTATGCTTTGACAGTGGGGTATTGAACATGGATGATTTATCAGTCTTCCAGAGATCTCTATACAAGCTGCCGTACAGTGAATCAAAACTATGCAAATATTCTTTTGATGCTTTTACGTCTCCGTCAGGCTTGTGATCACCCACTTCTTGTTAAAGAATACAATTCTGATCCTGTTGGAAAAGATTCTGTTGAAATGGCAAAAAGGCTTCCAAAAGAGATGCTGATAAATCTGTTTAATAGTTTGGAAACAACTGCCGCTATATGTTTTGTCTGCAATGTAAGTTAATTCTGATTTGATAATTTCATTATTTGTTTCTTTGTTGCAATTATTCCTTCTAAGAGCGTCATCTGATATAGATCATTTTGATCGTATCTTACCAGTCTTTCTCTTCCTATGGTACATGTTTTGTTTATATGTTTAATAAATAACATTACTAGGAACACTTCTCTATGGTTTGAAATATGATGAAGTTTGTGAATAAATAACATTAGTAGGAACAGTTAATAATTGGGAATATGGCCTCAATACAAAGAACTAGCTTTCTTGTTATTTTCTTTTCTTCTGATACATGATATAGTAGTACATGATAAGCTTGGTAGACTCTGCTGTTAGTAATTGGTTTAATCTATTTAATGACTCAGTTATTTATTTTGCCTTGCCTGTGTTAAATACTTGAGTAGAGGCCAGAGAATAAGCTTGGAGATGATGAAACGTGGGATAGGGCTGAAAGTGCTCTCAAGGAGGCTTTGGATGAGTTTGGCAAGCCATGGCAGGTATATGCTTTTCATGTTTTGAATTCAATTATATGTTTCTTGATACTATTTTTTATATTCTCATACATTCTTTTATTTTTTGTATATCTGTTTTATTATTTTCAATGTAATGCATCATTTGTTAACTTCAATTATGTGCTTATAATCCAAATAAAACTCTGCAGTTGAATGAAGGGGATGGTGCATTCTATGGACCAAAGATAGATATCAGTGTATCTGATGCATTGAGTAGGAAATTCCAGTGTGCAACTCTACAGGTTTACACTCTTTGGCTTGACTTGCATTCACATGGTTCAGTTGTTAATTATTTTTACTGATAATTATTTTTACAAGCTGCAATTAAGGATTCTGTGTCTGAAAATGAGGCATTTCAGAAAGTAATTGGAAAAGAAAAGCATGGAATGTTCGTAGTATGGGACTTGGAGTTACACCATCTCAAATTAATAGATCTACGAGATCGACATCTTCTTCTGCAGAAAGTGAACAAATAAAGGAAATGCAAGAAGAAATTAATGCACTTAAAGAAAAGAATTCAAAAATTGATGAATTAACACAGGCAATCATATTCTTAACGCAAAGGGACAAGGCGAGGACAAAGGAAATTGAACTCTTAATGCAAACGCAGAATTTTAGTGGAAGATAGGTATATTATTTTGACGCATTTAAAGTTAAATTTTATGAGTATTATTTTAAAGATAATTATTTTAATACCTTTTTTTAGGGATTGGAATCACCCGCTGATGGTAGACGTTCATCTGAGTCTAGCTACCGTATTGGAGATAATGGAACTTCAGGGGGGACAAATTAGACTTTGCTATGATCGAGATAATTAGATTGTGAACTTTCTCATGTATTTTTGGCATAATGATACTTATTATTATAAGATTAGGAATTGATATATTTTGGGTTTTTTGTACTACTTGACATGATTATGGAACTCGCATTTTACATGATTATGGAACACACATTTTTTTGGATATTATAATGCTTATTTGATGTTAAATATTTTTTATTGAAATTATTTTTACTATATTACAAAGTGATAGAAAATAAAACAAAAAATAATACTATAAATAAATATATTAAAGAAGAAATAATTTAAAGAAAAAAATAACACAATAAAAACCTATATTTAAAATTTTTTACATAGATAATAATTTAAATAAAAAATATATATAATAGAAAAATAAAAAAAATCAAGACATAAACAAAAGTCATGGCGACAGTACCGAACCGTCGCCATAAACAATTTAATCAATTTCAAAAGATATTCACGACAGTATCGAACCGTCGCCACCAATAATTAAAAGAAACTCAAAAGATAGTCACGACGGTATCAACCCGTCGTAAACTTGAACGACGGTTTTTGTAACCGTCGCGAAATAGGTTGGGGACACACACTTCTGCGACGGTAAAGCAACTGTCGTGGAAAGCAAATTGTGACAGTTTTAACCGTCGTAATCTACAAAAATACCAGTCGCAATCTGCCAATTTTCTTGTAGTGTTTGTGATAAATCTTGTATCTTTCCTCAAGAGTGTGACAAAGTGTTTTTTGAAAACTATTTTGAAAGTGTTTATGAAAAGATTTTTTATGGTTTTGAGCAACTACTTAAGAGATTCTACCTGCTCGAAAAAAGATTATTCGTTTTCGTTTCTTTTAGACAGTGCTATCCTACTATTAAGGAGTAGGTAGCCATATCGTTGGAGTTTTAAGGGACATTCGAAGGGACAAGTACGGTTACAAAAGAAATGGTTAGGACACTTTAGTAATTACCATAAAGTCCTAAAGATCTTTCCGAGGCAACATCCAAAAGGGTCATTTTTTATCTTTTGGTACTAGAGGGCGACCACTAAAATTTACTATGCTTTATGACCGTTTACTGAAGGCAACCGGAGTGGGAAAACCCTAGGAGTGAGCATGTGCAAGTGTGCCTTTTTCAGTTAATTATCTTTGCACAATTAGGGCTATTTACCTTTTAATTATTGATTTATCTTTCGCATACAATCCAAATGTCCATACATCTAGCAGTTTAATAGTTGTGGAAATTAAAGAGTGCGAGAAATTAAGTCCAAACTATTACAAGGATTTTGGGAAGATACACAAATATTTGACTGAAAATAAAGATGCAGAAATTGAAATCCTAATTAATCTATTACAAACTTGAAACAGTTACAATAATTTGAATTAAAAGAAAGCAAAGGCACGCGCGACGAATTAAATGCGAGAATAAATTAGAAGCCTAAAAAATCCTAATTAATTAAAAATATTTTTGTGTATTTTTTATTGAGAAACTAATTTAATTACAAACTAAACTTAATTTTCTAATTAATTTTATTTAAAAAAACAATCAAGTGAATCTAATTTATCTAATTTATTTTCAACAAAATTAATTTAAAAAAAACTAATTCTATATTTTTTGTGATTTTATATTTTTAATAATAAAAAAATATATTTTTGTTGTTTTTTGATTTAATAAAAAAAGATTTCTGTTGTTTTTTTTTGTAAGAAATAATTAATCAAATAAATAAAACAAAAGGAAATAAAAAATAAAAAAGAAAGAAAATGGGCATGTGGTGAAAGCAAATCTGGGGGTGTGTTATTGAATTTCATTGAGCCTAAATCCTTTGGTCCAATCAGGCGTTTGGATCCAGTGCTGGCCACATTTGAGGGTGCACCATGGACTTTGCTTGCGTGAGCGCCAGATCTGGCAGGAAATTGATCCAGTGGATGGATCTTGAGGTGTATGCAAGGCGCTTAGAATGTGAGGCGTGTAAGATCCTGCAACGTTTGTTAAGAAAATAATAAAATGTCTGGACCTGGGATCAAAGCCAGGTCCTTCCAATCACACACTTGCTTGCTTTACCATCTGGGCTGGATGACTCATTTGTTAGCATAATCAAACAAATACAATATAAAAGAAATAAAGTGCTATGCCTCAGGAAGCGCACCAGAATTCAAACCAGCCAGTGGGAGTCAGCCACGTGATCGTATATTTCCTAAGAACTGTTGTTTTAGGTATTAGCCTTTTACCTATGGACAAAACTGTCACTAAAGGCTATAGTGATTGTTTTTGTCCATAGCTACATCCATGCAAGATTCAAAACTAAAATACCATCAATATAAATCAGAACCAAAGGCGTAGATCAATTGTAAATCATCTTCTGAGTTCATTGGTACCCACGATTTGGTTTAATTTTGCTTATATGGAGAATCCCTAATTTGAAGCTTTCAAACTCTAGCAATGGCGTAAGTCTGTTCCTGTGCTAAAACTTAAATACAAGCATTCAAACAGATTCCAAACATGATTATAAACACATTTATGCAAACAAATTTGATTTAAAACATGTAAAACCGAGAAAATGAATTGAAAGCAAAGGGGGGTAAATTGTGATCTGTATCTTATGATTCTGGGCGTTTGGTGACTTGAGAGTGATTGAAATTGCTTCAGAATACGTCCGAGAACAGATGAGTGGCTTTGGAATTGCTTGAATTGGACTGTAAAGAAAAATCTGGTCAGCACTTTTCTTTGGAAAGTTGTAACTTTGTTTGACTCTCTTGAACCAGCTGCGCCTTTCTAATCTCGTCCTTAGGGTTAAACATGCTCTGTTATATGTATATGAATCAAATAGGTTAACAATTTTGGATTCAATCTTGGAAATTGATGAGCAAGATATTTGATTTTCAAGTCATATTCTTTGTTTCCAAAATTGGATAAATCATGCCATTTTCAATTCAATCAACCCTTGCACGATTTTCTTGCTAACATACAACCTGTATTCTCATCATTTAATGCAAAATCATCCCAAAATAATTTTATATCATTTATTTGATTTAATTTAGATTTTAAATGATTAAAAATCAAAATAAATCAAATAAATAAGCAAATGATGCATGGAGTGGTTTATGGGTCGTGGACCATGTTAGGAACAAGATACAAGCATAAAAAGTTGGGCCCATATGAAGAAAAATGCATTTTGGGCATTGTTGACTTTGGGAAATTTTCCAAAAATAGCCAACTTTGATAATGAATATCTCCATTAATTTTGACCCTAAGAGGGGTTTCTTGGACTTTTTAGAAAGCCTAAGATGTCCTCTAAACATCCCTTTTGGTTTCACCTAAATTGGATCTTCCATGTTCATGTAATAAGCTTTGACCCAATAGGTGTTTTTGTTGACTTTTTAAAATGACCTGTAATGTATGAATTCATATCTTTTCATGAGTGCATTTTTTGAACTTGAGGGATGAAGATGAGTTGTAGGTAATTACATCCTATTAAAAATGAGCCTTGGATGGGGAATATATGATAAAGTATGAGAAATTTATTCCTAGTCAAAGTTTGGTTGACTTTTCCTATAGAAACCCTAATTTAGCAACTTTTGAGTTTTGATGAATTTCGGGCATTCCTTGAGGAATCATGATCAACCCTTTATCAAATGATGGATGTTACTTCAAAATGTTGATGTTGACCAAAAATCTTGAAGTTTGACTGTATGTGGGCCATAGTTGACTTTTGACTTAGTACAATTGATTTCCAAGCATCTGAGCAGTTGATTGAGCAAACTTCTTGTGCAAGACATGAAACTTGATATGGATGATATTGAGAACATATTAGGGTAATGGAAATCATTTTGGACCCCTTGGAACTCAAACATCTTGATGAAAATGGAAACCCTAGTTTCAAGCTTATTGTCTTAGGAGGAAGATTTGTTTGGTCAATCCTTAGTCAACTTGAGCAATTGAGGACCTCTAGGAGTTTATCTGGTGTGAAAATGGGAGGGAAAATTTTGGGGTGCAACAACAGGCCTAGGAAAAAATAAGGGCATCCCGGTGAACCAAAAGAGTTCGGGAAAAAATTAGGGATATATTCAAAAAAGTGTACACCCGACAAGTCGAAAATCTGAAAAGGCAGCTTGGGTAAAAAAGGTTATCCCGGTGGACTGAAAATATGAAAAGTCAGTCCTGGAAAAAGTTAGGGATTAAAGCGTACGACTATGTCCTGTCATCTTGTCATTTGTTTATCAGTATAAGACTTATCATCTTGATCAACATCTACTCAAAACCCCGGGAGTTGGGATGACACTCAACCATCCATAAGGTCTCCGAAGTTACTTTCTCCAGCAGGTAGAAAGGCAGCGGCATCTTACTAAAAGGTCGCTGCCATATCCTCAGCTCACAACCTAGTGATGACAGGTGTTCTTGTATCCCCAGCAGAACAGGAATTTCCAGCTACTGCTCCTACATCAGGTTTTCCTCAGTAAATTCGTCAAACTTCTCAGGATTCCCCAACAGGATTTCACAAAATCCTCCAGCAGTACACAGAGCTTTCCTTCCCCATCAGAGTTTATTTCTCTAACAACAGAAGATCATCTCCCAGCAGTTCAGCTTCAACAAAATCTGAAGACCTACATTCTTCATCACTAGCTACAATCAAGGACTTATTTTCCCTAATTCAACGACGTTGCAATAGAACAATTGATACATTCACATATTGCATTCATACATCATTCCACAAATGTCATAGCATATGCAGTACAAATGCATACACCCCAATCTCATTTATTTTGAGAACACCATTACACAATGCATTTCATACATCATGACATTGTATACAGCTAACGCTTTACTTTTTCAGGAAAGATCAATTAACAGATATTTATCATCAACAATTTTCAAAAGGTCCAGGATTAGCTCCTGAAACAAAACAGAGTAATTATCTGTGCGACCAAATACAACTTTACACAAGCTCAACGTGAAGCAATATTACACAGGTTTCTTCTAACTTCCAAATCAAGCTTTACACGGGCTC